GTCCTCTTTTTTGCTTGCTGAAATATGGTAACCCTAACACAAGGGGAGTTACATTAGTACAAGGTAGGGTGTGAATTTAAAGCACTATAGTTGTACAACTGTAACTCTCCCTGTAGACACCCTTATTTTGGTATTACAGTAGGGTTGCCAACTTTCTAATTGCACAAAACTGAATACCCTTGCCCATCCCCTGCTCTGAGGCCCGGCTCCTTCTCTGAGGTCCCGCCCCACTCACTCCAGCCCCCCTCCCTCCGTCGCTCACTCTCCTCCACCCTCACTCACTTTCACTGGGCTGGGGCAGGGGGTTGGGGTGTGGGAGGGGTGAGGGCTCCAGCTGGGGGTACTGGCTCCGGGGTGGGACTGGGGATGAGGGGGCTCCAGACTGGGGGCAAGGGGTTTGGAGTGCCGGAGCAGGCTCAGGGCTGGGGCAGGGGTTAGGTGCGGGAGGGGACTCAGGCTGGGGTGTGGGAAGGGGTGCGGGCTCTGGAAGAGGGCTCAGGGCTGGGGTTGGGGTTGGGTGTGGGAGGGGGTTCCAACCTGGGGCAGAGGGTTTGGGATGCGGGCTCTTGGAGGGAGTTAGGGTGCAGGAGGGGGTTCCGACCTGGGGCCGCCAACCGGACTTTTAACGGCCCAGTCAGCAGTGCTGACTGGAGCCGCCAGCGTCCCTTTTCGACCGGGCATTCCGGTCAAAAACTGGACGCCTGGCAACCCTCTATTAGAATGGTCTTTTTCCAGTTTAAGCTAATGTCAATATGGAAGATGTTTAAATTAAGGCAAAAAAAAAAAAAGCCACTAATTCCAGAATAAGAGTGTCCACAGAAGGGGTCATTCTGGTATAACTATTGCAGTATAATTATACTGGGATAACTGGAAATATCTCCCATGTAGACAAACCCTGATCTGAAATGAGAGGGTCCACGCAGAGGTTTGCAAACGTAATGGGCCAGACCCTCAGCTGCTGTAAATTGGTGTAGCTCCATTGAAATTAATGCCAGTTTACACCAGCTGAGGAACTGACTGAGAAGAGCAGCAGCGGTTCAAATTCTTGATCCAGAGCAGTAATTTTAGCTGGAAGAAACAGCTGTCTACTACAAGGAAAACCCTAGTTTGCAGCAGTGGCAAGCGCACATGCATAGCTCCCTAACTGCAAATCAGTTCTAGCTCAGGAAAGGAAGTGCATGAGCCACCACTTCCTTACTTTAACTGGGGGTAGCGGAAAAACTCGAGCTGTTTTCCTGCTGCTGTGTTTCTGCATATGCTCGGTTTCTATGGTGCTCACTGTCTGGATGACGACTGTAATTAGAGCTCCGTATGGAATTCTGAACTGCATCATTTGTAGATATGCTCCCAGAGAAGAGTGAGAGCACATCTCTGTGCACACTGCCTCGGGGAAGGGAATCCTAAACTAAGAAGTTTCAGAGAAGGGGTTCTCCAAGGATGGGATGCACACAACTGGAAATGGACCTGCATCCACTGTAACTACACTGCCATCTGGTGGTGTGGGTTAAAAACGGGCCAGTTCTTCTATATTCCCTTTCATCTCAATCCCTGACAGTACAGAACCATTCCAGGTAGCTCAATTACTAGCAAACGTGAGTGAGAATTATTCAGAATGATGCAAACAAGCAGCGTGACTTACTGGAACAGTTACCTTTCTTTAGTAATACCACGGTGGCGTCACAATTGCTGTTATCGTCCATTTCTGTGTTATTTGCTAATCCGTTCACCATATTTGCAGCATTTTTTGTCTTCCTTTCAAAGCAGTGATGTATGGAGGAATTAAACCTATGCAAAGAAAACAAACGCTTGTTGTATCTCTGTTTCCTATATGCAGCTTTCTCAACTGCCCTTCTTTTCTTGAGCCAGACCACGTAGGACCAAACTATAGCATTCTAGAGGGCAAGGAAGGCCTGCTGGTTTTAAAGAAATCTAGCCTTAGAATAGGACAGCTGTAGCTTAGTTACACGCAAAACAATCTCTGTGTCCTCAAACATGACAGTCCATAAAACAGAATGTGTAAAAAGTGTCCTGGATGCTAAAACAAATACAGATTGTAATTCTGTTACACCATCCGCCATGTCAGTGGAATCAGCCTCTTGGTCAAAAGATGGATGGTATAGGGGTCAGGGAACTAGCCTGACACTCCTGAGACTTGGGTTTAATTCTCTGACCCGCCGCATATTTTCTGTGTGACCATGAGCAAGTCACTTGGTCATTCTGTGCCTTGGTTTCCCCACCGATACACTATAAAGATAATAGCACCGGCCTACTTCACAGGGGTGTTGTGAGGATAAATACATCAAAGATTGCCAGGTACTCAGACACTAGAGCTAGAGAAGCACCTGGGCTAGATGGCATTACAGAAACCCTGCTCCACCTCTTTCTGCTCTGGAATTACCTCTGCAGACTGCATTTTAAACAGGCCAAGGGCATATTTGACTTACTTCATGATCAGGATGTAAATGAAGTACATCAGTACTAGGACGAGGGACTCCCACCTGCAAACAAAGGCAGATGAGGGACAAATCACAGGAGAGCAGAGAGAGGTCACCTGTGCCCGACCGCACTCCCTGCTTTAGTCATTCAGTAAACCCACATGGAAATGTTCAACCCACTGGGCATTGTACTGCATACACAGAAAGCGGCACACAAAGCACCGGGATTCTAACTCCTACTCTGATCCTGCTTGGCAAAAAAATCAAAGTCAACTGAAAAAAATATAATGTAGTTGTGCAGCCACTAAGCAACTTGGACATTTTGGGAAGGGCAGCCTGGGGCATGGGGTGCAGTGGAGCGGGTGGAGATATTTTGTGCCCACTTTGCACAAGGTGAATGTTGACACACGGTGCAAAGCAAATGGCGAATCAGGCTCTTGGAGCTCCCAGAGCTGGTTTAAGAGCGCTACGGCTGCTGAGAAGAGACTGAACCAGAGGTAGCACCAGTTCTTTCCAGCTCTCTCTCCAGGCTGTGGCTGCAGCTACATAGCTGAGCTGGCAGGCACTGGACAAGCAACTTTGCATGGTTTAAACGGCTAGTTAAATGTTATGAAATGATTTTTGTAGCAGTTTCTACTACAAAATAAAGGACATTTGTATTAAAATTAGACAGCCCATGGCTTTTGATACTTCTCAGTATGGAGTTTTCCCCCCGCTCCTCTAACCAGACCCTTACATTTACTGTGACAAACAACTAGCTCCAGCAATAAGCATCACCACAGTCCTACACAATAAGACTCATTGTTCATTTTCTTTTAAGTCGAGCTGTGGCTTTTTGATCTCTCAGCTTTAGCATTGACCATATTAATTCATTTCCCTTGTTTCTGACAGTCCAGCGCTCTGCTTCCCCGTTGATGTATTTCATTAAAAGGAAGCAGTTATGTCTAATTTGCCCTCAAATTTAATTTTAGTTTAAAAAGAAAAAAAAAACCCTCTGCCAAACTGTGGAAATGTCTCAAATTAAAAGTAAACATCCCAGGGGGAACAAATTAACCCCCGCAACTCCCTGCAACATTTGTAACCCAAACATTATAGAAAACCTGAAAATGAAGTTTAACTGACTATGAGCAAAAGTTAAACTGACTAATGGCATTGTCCGATCTGAGAGACAGGCAGCAAACAGAGTAAACAGCTGAAGTAAATTAGATTTTTCTATTTTCACCACTACTAAACTGCAGTGTTATTAATAACACAGGGAAATGCATTCATTTTAATATATGATTTTTAACTGGACAGTGCCCCTTTAATGCTATCTCAGGTCATTTTATTTTTAACACCACCATTACAAAGATACTGTTCTACCATTCAATTTCTTTTTAAAAGTTCAAACGTTTGGACAAACTCAAGGAAGACATTTTGGAAGACCTTTCTAATGCTCATGTTTCATGGCATTTCCCCTCTGGCTTTCACTGCCCCTTCCCAGTTGCTCTGACCTCACCCTGGCAGCAAATCTCTGACTAAGGGCCATGCTGTATTGCCAGTCTGCCCACATAGACACCGCTGCCCTCTGGGGGAGTGTATGTGGGTGGACAGAGGGTGCAGACCGACACCACTGCCTCCTTGCATCAGGGGATGCTCTGAATGAACCTCTCCTGGGCATTCCTCCCTAGCTTAGAAAATGAGTGATGCCAGTCCACCTGCTAATGGGGTTTCCTGCTGAGCAGGAAATTGGTGCCTGAATTGCTCTGCAGAACTTTAGTTTTCCCCGCTCTCATTAACCCTGATTTTTCAGCTCCTGCAATATAATCAGAAAGTGACAGCTGGATACACTTACCAAGAAACGATTTCATCATAAATAAACTGTGGAGGAAATTAAAAAAAGTCACGTTATCCATGAAATGCGACAGCGTACATTAGAGCTGAAAATACCCTGTTACCTGAACACATGGCACGGAGAGGCAGCATCATCTAGTGATCAGAGCGAGAGACAGAAGCATGAGGCCTAGGTACCACACGGGTGCTGTTTTCTTGGGCTCATTTAACTTCTCCGTCCCCCAGTCTGTCCCATCAGTAGAATGGGGATGACAGACTTACCCAAGTGCTCTGAGATTTTTGTATAAAAGGTGCATTCAGAGCAAGTGTCCAAAGGATGTGAGTGATTTAATGGCAGTAAAGCACATGAAGTTATGTGGGAAAAAGGGTGTCCCATGGAAATCATGTGATAAACATGTACCATTGGGGGGGGGGGGGAGAGATCCTCAGCTGGTGTAAATCAGCATCGCACCAATGAAGTTAATGAAGCTACAGGCATTTTACACCAGCTAAGAATCTGGCCCAGGGCCTGATTTTCATAGGTGCTGAGCTGCACCTACTATTCCAACTGAACTCAAAACACCGGTGAAAATAGGGCCTCACAATAACACCACACAAAACCTTCTGGGGCAGGGAACATGTCTTTCTCCGAGTGTGGCATCTTTCTGAGTAACAATAACATCATGTCACAAAAGTTGTTACATCTGACTTTTGTCAATTTATCCTTGGCTTCACTTTTTAAAGTAGAAACTTAAAGATGAGCTTTTCCTAGTCACCACTAGATGGCCCTCATGTTCCACAGCTTATTTCCAACAGGGCCTCTGGGAGAGATGGGAGAGGAGAATGAAAGAGTGCCAGTGGATATCGCGCTGGTAATAGTCAGCGGTGCCAGTCTTTCCATGCACTCTTACTTTAAATGGACATCTGCAATTTACTGGCTTCCCTGCTGATTCCTCACTGTCACCCCCAACCACAGGCCTCATTTCAAAATTGTTTTCAGCCAGTGGAACGGTATCACGTTGTAATGCACCATGACAAGATGTTGTGGCAACACAATGTCAAGAAGATAGCTGGGCTTCCTTGGGTTGCTTATCCTGAAGTCTTCTGCCAAAGCACCTGCTCTCTCCGTCCCTTGGCGCCATCCAGCCTTCCTGTTCTGCTGAACAGACACATCATGTAACATATTTTATGTTACCTGACAGCTAGGAACGAGGCCCCATGGTTTTTGCCCTTTGGCTCAGTGTCAGACCACGGCTGTTGTTAGAATGTGACCCTGTCAAGTCCAGCGCTGCGTAGGTGACATGCTTACAGTAACCTGGGACCAGGGGCATCCTCCCAGAATAGCTAAGTGCCAACATGCCACCGCATCAATGCCAGAGCTGTACTTCTCTGGGCCATGTGGCCTGCAGCCTCAGTCCATAGTCACTCTACAACTTGACATCCCAGGAAATGACTGTGTGTTGTACTTGGTTTCAACTTTTATTAGGTTGGGGGAAACTTTTGCTCAGCCATTCTAAAGCTTCATGGCTCTTTATTTGCCCTCATCTCTACACTACATGAAGAGATACAGTTTCATTAGGAAAACACCATCATGAAAAAGCACTATTATGGTACCAGAGAGCAACCAAGGGAAAGGGAAACACCCCCTTAGCCTGCACACTCTGTAAAGAGCAAACCTCTCTTTCTTTGTAATGTACACCAGTAATATTGGTTATCAGAAGATAACGTGGCTGTTATATATCATGCACACCACAGGTTATTGCTCATACTCACCAGGGTTTTATGTGGCAACAATAGTTTCAGGCTGCGATGTTTTGGTGTGACAGGACACGCAAGCACGCACACTCATCTTTGCGAATAAAAATGAAAATAAGCCATGGGCCACACGTTTTGGCCTAACAACTTTGACAGCAGCCCAGATCCTCAAAGGTATTTAGGTGCCTAACTCCCATGGAAATCGGTGGAAGTTAGGAACCTAAATACCTTTGAGGATTTGGGCTAGTATCCCTTTAAAATTTGGAATTGTTGAATTTTTTTCATTCTAATGCAGGATGAAGAATAACTTTGGAACAGTTTGAGAAATTAGATGTTGTTTTGCCAAGCTCTAATTAAAAGAAGGTCTTGGTGGATTTTTTATTTGGAAAAGAGGTATAGAGCCAACTCCTCGGCTGGTGTAAATGAAGCCAAGCCAGTTTACATCTAATCCCTGGATTTTTAAGTGATTTAATGTTAAACCCATAACTTTAAAATACTCAATATCAATGGGGACACATATATGGTTAGGCAAAACAATGGTGGAGCATTCACATCTATGAGAGCATCACAGTCTATTTATTAAAAGAACATGGGATACCTTCCACACACAACACCATCCATTATAGAAGATCCCATATTGTGCTAAAAGTTAAGTATGTGCTTAAGTCCCATTTAAATCAAAGGGACTTATTATAAAGCACATACTTCTGTGCTTTTTATGTTCTTAAGTCCTTTGTTGAACTGGGACCTACATGTGATTGGACATTTCTTGTTTGTATACATTCATGTCTCAAAATTAACAATAATCATATGGGATTTATTTATTCTAACCCAAGAAAATTTACTTCCTTCTTTCCATGATCAAGAAGCCCATTTTATCTCATAGAAAAAAGTGGCTAAGGGAACATTCAGATGACTGGTAGAGCAAGAATGATCAGTTATAAGTGTAACTAGCCGGCACCTGTATTTTGTGAAATTTACCACTTTTCCCTTTTCTTCTCTATGACATTAATCTAGTTATTTTCATGGTTAATGTGAAATAAATGTTTATTTCAGCACGACCGTGTCTTTGGAAGGCGAGAGAGAAACTGGTTCACTTCAAATCACAGAGCAGCCAGTAAAATGGACCATTTCGTTATGAATGGCTGTCCTCAACTCACCCTGCATGGTGGGGGAAAGGTAGTGCTGGGCCTGAAGACAATGCATTGTCTTAGCTCATCTCACAGGAGCGTGCTGAGGCTGAACTCACTCCAGCAGGTATGTGCCTTGCGAAAGGAAGGTGCTACACAAGTACAATTTATGATCAGTATGATTTCAAGTAGGGAGCACAGCACTGAACTGGAACAGCATCTAAAGACTGGGTGTGTGTGCGAGATCCTCATCTTGCTGACATAAAGGGGAGTTTTGCCTTTTACTTCCGTGGGCCAGGATTTCACCCTGGGAGTTTATGCTAAGGAGGCTTCCATGTTCCTCCGCAACTGAGTGATACTATTTAAAAATTCAGGCAATAAACGCTACAGGATGGCGCGCTTAAGGGTGCTGCATGTGTAACCAACCTGATGCAAAACCTCAAAAGCAAAGAAATGAAAAATTAAGCCACCTAGCAGGACAGCCCCCTTTTTCCTTCACCCATCAGCACAGAACAGTGGGCGTCCCTTTGGTATAGTTCTGGGGCAGCACCCACTCACTTCTGGGGCACGGGGGTCTGGAAATCCAGCATCCCTTGTGGGGCAGAGTTAAGGTGATGGTGTATTCTTTGTCAGGTGGTTGTCTCTGGGTGGAGGTGGGGTCTTAGAGGGGAGGAAGGCAGGCTACATATTTTAAGAACCAAACAAGTGCTACCAGCGAAATCTGACTCTGTTTGACCTAACAATGTCTTTTAATGCCACCAGAGAAAATGTCAAGCAGAGGGGTTAAATATTTTAACTGTTTTTCCTTTCTCCCCATTCCCCTTTATGTGCATTTAACAAATGGTAATTGACATAGTCCTATTGATAGCAAGGAGCTGCCGAAGATCGGCTTGACTCTGGGCAAGTGGGGTACAGGCCCAAGAAGGAATGATAATATCCTAGTCCTTTGGAGTGAAGATCCCAAGGAACAGGATTTTTGTAGTTCTGTAGCCATGAAGAATAGCCCTCCCTGGAAGACATTTGTGAGGGAAGAGAGAAGGAACCAGAAAGAAAGAGTAATATATACCTTGTTTACAGGTACCAGAGAGTTCTGTTTAATGATCTGAGTTTCTTGCTGTATACCTAGTTTAAGGAATATGCTAGATATGCCACAAAAGGTATGATTGTATCAGGCCACTGTTAGGTTGCTGAGAAGCATCCAAAAATAAAGGTGCCAAGCCCTGTGAGCAGAAAGATCACTGGAAGGTTTTTAAAAAAAAACAAACAAAAAAAACCCCACCTCCTCCCCGGACTGATTTGCAACTGTTCTGCAAATGAAACACACAATCCAAATGCTATCAGGTTAGAAGCAAAGCGGCTTTCCATAGCCACGCTTCCTTTGGATTAAAAATAAACAAATAAATCAATCAAAGGGCTGGGATGTTGCCTACATGCCTTTCTGCCCTTGGGAGGTAATTTTTTTACAATATATGGGGTTGCTCGTTTATTGTTGAAAAGCCACTTTCTTGTGCTTCATTATTCTTAAGCCCTGGAAGTAACAAAGCAGCCTTTGTTGGTTTCACACATCATTGCTGTCAATTACATTGCTTTTATTCTTGCCTGGGTGTGGAGGTATGAATTAGATTGAAGACAAGCTATTTTTCATACATTGCAGAAGGCTGACCTTGCAGTGTTGCGATTACAAAACTCAAACAAGTTGAGGCAAACTCTTTGCTGGAAGTCTCAGGGGGAGGGACTAGCTATGCACATGGAATATGTACCCAGTATGCAGGCACACACATGCTAAAGGCAAAAGAAAATACAGCCAGGAAACTTTAATGTTGCCTAGTTACAGTCACACAAATTCTGGAATTGCAAACGTTCATCTTCTCACCATGACGCTGACCTGACCTTACAAATGTATTAAAGTGAACACAAGAAGATCTCACTCTCCCTTTCCCCTATTTAGTAGGGAATAGTTTATTTTAGGCAACATGTCCAAGACGACAGTAATGTATAGATGAAAACAACATTTATGCAATATGCAGCTTTGCTCTGGGAAATGTAACTTTTGTATTTCCTGACTTTGTGCGAGTTTGGATGAAAATGTGCCATTTAACTGCTGTCGTTTTCACATTTCAATTCTTATGCTAACATTGTTTCCATTTGTGGCCTGATTTTCAGCCGTTCTGAGCACCTACACTTCCCACAGCACATGATGGGAGCTAAACAGGGAGCACTGTTGATAACCAGACCATTGGCTTCTAAATCCACGGTTAGGGTGCTATATAAGTGGCCTGATTTTCACAACTGCTAAATATTTTGGAGAATTATAACAACTGGTCACAAGGTGTTATCAATGAAACCATCTTGCACCCTCACCAGTAGGGTTTGGCACTAGTACCCACTAAATCCCATGAGTCTGTGTGCATGTATAGGACTCACAGTAACATTTTGTATTCATGAATTGATTTCCTTCCCACAGGGGCAAAGCATGTCCCTCCTTGAGTATGGAGGGCTTCTTGGTAGCAGAGCCAGAGGACCAAGGGGATGGGGGGAAATGACTCAAATTTGAAGTTGGAAATGCACAGATCCTTCCATCCTCTCCCCACATAAGGAACGAAACAGGACTAAGCACCCACTCCATGGCCTGATTGGAGGCCAGAGCTCTGGGAGTACGTCTACACTGCAGCGGGAAGCAAGCCTCCCAGCCTGGGTAGACTGACTTGTGCTAGCGGGACCTGTGCTCGTGCATTTCTGTGGGTATGAGGGGTCCGAGCTTGGGTGGCAAGCCCGAGCCTCCACTGGTGCAACATCCACACAGCTATTTTCAGTGGGCTAATGTGAGCCCCACTAACAGAAGTCTGTCTGCCCGGGCTGGGAGGCTCTCTCTCAGATGCAGTATAGATGTACTGTGGGTTTCAGAGTTACCATCCCATTGAGATGAATGGGGCTGTCCACTCCTCTCAGAGCTATTGTTTCATGCTCTCTGCAGACTCAAGTGAGCACTGCTGTATCCTTTTTAAGCTTTCCTTTGCAACCAGGAAGGCTAGAAACAGCTTTTTTTGGGGGGGGGGGGATATTTGAGGTTTAGCTGTGACATGACTCCTGGAGGCAGGGCACAAGTTTATAGTGCCTATGTCTTAATCTGTCCCCAGTGACAATAATGATGAGGATCGTAGGAGACACTTAGGTTTCCTGAGCAGCAGCACTGTCATAATAGCCTTCAAAAACTTACCACAATGAGTGCAACAACAGACAGTGTGTAATAGGTTGAATCTCGCAGCAGACTCCACGATGACAGTGCAACCACCTGAGAGAATACACAAAAAGGAGGATTGAGCCAGGCTCTCATCATCACAAGTTCTCTGTGTCAAAGGATGGACTGTCATTTCATAGTGCTAGCTGGCCCCATACATTAGCACGTGATATGGGAAATCCAAGTTTAGGAATGCATTGCATTTCTGAGACCACTACCCAGAGGCACAAAAAGGCCAGAGGAGAGACTGAATCTCTGGGACCTAAAGGTGGCAAAGTCATGGTAATGGTCAGCACTTGCATTGTTTATCCAGGGTCACATTATGCCCTCAGTTACTTCTAGGCAGGTCTAATCATCCCTGTGTATCAGTAGGTTTTTTAATAGCTGTAACTGAAGGCAGAACTTGGGCCCAAATCATTTGGTTAGGAGAAAGTCACAGTTCTAGAGTCCTGTAAAACGTGTGGGTGGTGGAGGGATTGAGGGCCCAATCCTTTGAGGTACTGATCTTCTGTTAAAAACCCTGCAAGCCCCCTGAGAGAGCTTTCGGCGCCCTGTGTGACGGGCTCAGGACCACACAATATTCGATTTTAATGGCGAAACGTGGGGAATGTTTATATTTTAAATGGAAAGGAATAGACAGAAAATTGGGAGGATGCAGGGGGCCCTGGTTCTCTGCTGCCTCCCACCCTGCAGAGCCATTTACATGAGAACTTCTCAAACTTTTCAGGCTCAGGACCCATTTGTCAAGGTTGAGGGCCTGTCACAAGCCAGTAAAAAGGCTGGTGGTGGGGTGTTGGGTCCTGGCCCCAGGGTGCGGGGCAGGAGGCCTGGGGGTGTTTGTTGCAGATCCCACCCTGCAGTCACCCCGCAGCAGCAGCTCCTGCAGTTCCAGTCCTGTAGGGCTGGTTGGGCTCGGCTCCTCACCTCTGTGGTTGCAGTGCTGCTTAGATTTGGCCTTGAACTCCCTTGTGTGGGGGGGCAGCTGGGCCAAATCTGTGTGAGCACAGTTGTGACCTGGTGCATGGGCTCATAGTGCCACTCACTCAAATTTGACCCAGCCCCCCACCCCTGCATCTTCCTGACTGAGGGATGGTTGGGCCAAATCTGAGTGGCGCTGTAACCCTGCAGATTCCAACACCCAGAGTAGGGAGCTGAGCCCAGCCAATCCTGTAGGCCTGGAGCCATCGCGTGAATCCTTTGAAATGTTCTGCCTCCCCATCCCAATTTTGGGTTGTGATTGAGAAATGCAGACTAACTGTACAGAAAGCACCTCCCACCCTAGGATCTCCAAGCATTCATCAACATTAATTAATTTAATTTCAAAAGAGACCTGTGAGGAAGGCTACTTGTCATTTTGTGAAGAGCCCACAAAAGGAGTTTTGCTCCAATGCATCTGAGATGCAGCACAACTCCTAATGCAGTGTGGAGAGGAGCTGCCTTTTGTAGATCTCTGGAAATGCACCATGCTGGGCATTTTGGTGGTGTGTTGCCAAAGACCTTCAGACATACACAATTGGTGCACAACAGTCAACTAGTTACGCACTCTAGATGGGATTTTTAAAAGGGTGCAAGTGATTTAGGCACACGAGGCACAGTGAAAGTCAATGGGATTCAGGAGCACAACTATCAGTGGCAGTCAGTCAATCTGATTTGTGCTTCTAAAAGTCAAAAATCACAACCACTCTTCACAAACTTTTGTAAACCAACAGAGTTTGAAGTCCTGGACAATGAAACTCTTTTCTTATTTTTTTTTCCTTACTTTTTTACTACTTCTCTCTCTTAAAAAAAAAAACAAAACTTAGGAAATCTCATACAAAATACTGTGTTATGGTCGCAAAGTTAAGCACTGAAAAAAATCAAGAAATGCTAAAGTAACATAACCTTAACTCTGCCCCTTAGTGCATATCTGGTACAATTTAGTCTTGAATTGTATGGTCACATATGCAAGTAGTACCATATAATATGAAGATGACTTTTCCTACACACTTAGATAGTTAAGTAGACTCTTGTAGGGCTGTGTATAATGACTTTGAGTAGGACAGGAAAACAGAAGTCATGAAAGTCATAGAGTTTAAGGCCAAATGGAACACCAGATGATTTAGTCTGACCTCCTGTATATCACAGGCCACCACCACCCAACAACCAAAATTAGACCAAACTGTTACAGCCCACAGGAGACTACACTATCATGTGCCACAGGCAGAAAATAAGAGGGACTATTTGCACCAATGCCTGAGGTCCCCTCAGTGGCAGGGAGCTGACTGAATGAGATACATCCAGATAATCCTGACAAGTGATTTACACCCCTTGCTGCAAAGGAAGGTGAAACCTCACCATCAAGGTCACTGCCAACCTAACATGGGGGAAAATTCCTTCCTGACCCCACACACGGTGACCACTTAGACTGTGAGCATGTGAGCAAGAACCAGCCAGCCAAGCACCCTAGGGACAGAATGCTTGGTGCCACCTCACAGCACTGGCCCTGTCCAGTGTCCCATCTCCAACATGGCCATCTCTAATGATTCAGAAAAAGGAGACCCAATCCAGAGTATACTGTATGTCTGTGTGTGGGGGGGGGGAGAATCCCATCTTGACCCCTCCTGGTGTCTGGCTGAAACCCTGAAACATGAGCTTTTAGGAACAGAAGGTGTAAACTGGAAGTGAGCCTGAGGGCTGGTGAGCCCTGCCACCTACCATCACAAGCAATCAGGACATACAATCACACTCATCAATTTGTCTAGCTCGCTCTTAAAACTAATTAAGTTGTTTGCCCCTACAACTCCTATTAGGAGGCTGTTCTAGAACCTCATCCCTCTGATGGGTAGAAACCTTCTTCTGATTTCCAGCCTCAATTTGTTCCGGGTCCATTTGTTCTTGTGCCAACATTTTTTTTTAAGCTTAAATAGCTCTTCACCTTCCATAGGGTTTACAGAGAGCAATCATAGTCCCCCCCTACCCCATCAGCCTTCTTTTTGCTATGTTAAACGAGCCATGTTTTTCCAATCTCATAAGACTGATTCTCCATTCCCCTGGTCATCCTAGTAGCTCTTCTGCACCTGTTTGTTTGAATTCATTTCTCCTGAACATGGGTGACCAGAGCTGTACACAGCATTCCAGTTGAGATCTTACCAGTGCCACGTACAATGGCATTAGTACTTCTCTATCTCTACTGGAAATGCCTCGCCTGATACATCCTGGGATCATATTTGCCTTTTCCACCATTGCATCATGTTGGTGGCTCATGGTGATCCTGTGTTCCACCAACACACCCAGGTCTTTCTTCTCCTCTGTTGCCCCAGCTTGTGGGAGAAATTTTTATTATTAGATCCTAAGTGCAGGACCTTATTATTGAATTTCATCTCATTTCTGTGACTCAAAGTCATCCAGCTATTCCTGTATAATATTCTGATCCTCCTCTGTATTGACAATGCTTCACAACTTCATATCATCCACCAATGATTTGCTGATAACAAAGTCATGTATATGAAATGAACACAGTATAGCATATCTATAGGTGCTCCATATTAGTATATAGGATAGAGTAACAGTGAAAATTTGCTACAGATACAGACTACATAGACTCTCATTGATTTCAATGGAACTCCATGAGATGGAGTGGTTTGTTTTCCATCAGAGAGCAGGTTGCAGAATTGGGAGCTAAGTTTGCAGGGATATTAGCTTGTCGTTAGCTGCCTCGGTCTCTGAATTAAACCTAATTAAGTCTGCAAAGTGCCTGGCTACAGAGTTAAATTAGAAGACACCTAAAACATTAAAGCTAGACAAATTCCAATTAGAAATAAGGCACACATTTTTAACAGTCAGACAAATCATCGAGCTCAGTGAAGGGGTAACTGGGTGAAATTCTCTGGCCTGTGTTACACAGGAAATCTAATCAAGCATAACAACTCAGAAGTTATGAGATGATAGCAACACAATAACAACAGGATGAGTTAATCTGGAAATATCTAGATCAAGTCCTTAGAATAGGGATTACTTACCTTAGAAGGTGGTTGAATTTAAGATTCAATTCTCGAGCAACACACACATTTTCAAAACCGTGGGCAAGGTCATTGAGAATATTTTTATAATATTTCTCAGAAACAGAAAAGCCTTTCTTTAGCTAGGTCGCACTGGACAAACATACTTGGGGAAAGATCAGATATACTACCGAGTCTTATATTCAGAATCTCCTTTTTGGAAGGCTTACATTTAAAGCAGCATAACTCTGTCACAATCAGAATTACAGTCCAAAGGCAAAAATCAGTGAAATTATCCCTATAACACTAGGCTCTCACATTTTTGACTGAGCTATTGGTATTTTAGCTTTCATAGTCCATCCATTCTCCTGAGCTTTGGATAGTGTAACAAAGTTCCTCCTCTATTTTGGTGGGTCCTGCGCTTATTGACAGATTTTCTTGCCTCAGAGATTCACCATGTGGGTTGGGGAACAGCCCAGAGACCTTCCCCTCTGGGAGAACCCACAGTCCAGGTCAATTGGGAGGTTTGGGGGGAACCCGGGCCCGCCCTCTACTCCGGGTTCCAGCCCAGGGCCCTGTGGACTGCAGCTGTCTATAGTGCCTCCTGTAACAGCTGCATGACAGCTACCACTCCCTGGGCTACTTCCCCATGGCCTCCTCCAAACACCTTCCTTATTCTCACCACAGGACCTTCCTCCTGGTGTCTGATAACGCTTGTGCTCCTCAGTCCCCCAGCAGCACACCTTCTCACTCTCAGCTCCTTACGCCTCTTGCTCCCAGCTCCTCACACTCACACCACAAACTGAAGTGAGCTCCTTTTAAAACCCAGGTGTCCTGATTAGCCTGCCTTAATTGATTCTAGCAGCTTCTTCTTAATTGGCTCCAGGTGTACTGACT